TTCCTAAATTCCAGCAAGGAAAACATTTCCCTTGAAATGCCCTATCAGCCCTCCCACCTCCCTCGCTTCCTGACATTGCTGCAGTTTTGGCAAAGCCAGAAGGGAGATTTCAGTCTTCGTTCAGAAGGCTGTCACACAGATTTTTAGTCGAAAAAGAGATATGGGTCTGAGTCTCACAGCATCAGGTGGCATGATGTTACGGTGGGCTTCGGGAACAGTTCCACCAGGTGAAATTCAACATCACTAACAGTTAATTTGCATAAATATAGAACTGGAGATCCTGAATCCCAGGTATTACACATTGGTCTAAATATAGTGAGTTGCAATTATTGATTCCAGTCCAAGGAGAGCCTGGGAAAGGATCAGATTTCCACTTAGAGAATCAATCTTGTCTGTGAGTGTGTGTGAACACTGACATTTTTGGCCTCATGCAGTTTAGGGTTTGCTATAAAGTTGTTTTGAAAGCTATGGAAAACCAATAATGGTAAACAATTTAGCTCTTAAGTGTAAAGCCACTGATAAAACTGAGATAACTCCAAGCTCTGACAAAAAAAAAAGAGGTTATAGATGTAAACAGTCTCTTTTGTCTTTGCAGTAAGATGAATACTTCAGATGATGAGAAAATGAACAATTTTTTTTTTTTTTTGGTGTTCAGATCACTTGAGATTTTATTGCTTTTGTTTGTCCTTATAAGTTTTTAGTCTCTTTTCTGATTTTTTTTTAAAGGTGCTGTCCCTAGTCAAGTTATAAGGCAACATATTTTATTGATTCAGAACTCTAATACATAGTATGGCCACTGTTATCACTGCAGCTTCGCAGCTACCGTGGGTTGGACAACAGTCAAAGTGCATGACGATGCACAACAGAGCCAGTCTCCTGACCTTACGATATACAGGACACTTTGGTTCTCAGGATGAGAGAGTATAAACGTAGCTTAGATGCTGCCTCACACACTTTGCATAATAAAACATTTATATGCTGTCATGAAGAGGGTGTAAAGTCTAAGTCACACTGCAGACCGGCTGTTCTCAGCTTCTCCGTCCGGGCAGGTATGAGAGACAAGTTGTAGATATGCCACCAGTGAAAGCATATAAATGTATCTGGTGCAAACGTTTTACAAGAGTATTTATAAATGATTCAACAAGGGAGAGCAAGAAAGAGAGTGAGAGCTAAAGTGCAATTTTAAAGTAATATAAATAATTGAAATGTAGAAATAAGATACTAATTAGTTGTAACTGGTTTTGTTTTATAGGCACAGTTTAGTTTTTATGTCTACAGATCAATCTTTTTCTCTTCTTCCCCCTCCAGTAATTTTCTCTGATGCATAATGGAGTTTCAATGGTCTAAATCTAAGGAACACTGCTTAGTAAGAGGACAGAAGAGGCAATGATAAGGCAGTATAGTGCAACTCACTATGTGATATTAGAAAAGAAACAAGGATGGGGTTAGAGCTTCCGTGGTGATGTATAAAATCAGCCTTAAAAAAAACCAAACAAACCAAAAAACAGGAGGAAAAAAAAAGACAGGCTTTCCAGTTATATGTTGACCCATGCTTTCTAAAATGAGAGAGCACATTTTCCAATACAAAGGAAACAACTGAAGGTTCATAATTTGTTTTGCTGTTACCAAAAAAAAAAGAAAAAAGAAAAAAGAAAAAAGAAAAAAGAAAAAAAAAGAAAAAAGAAAAAAGAAAAAAGAAAAAAGAAAAAAGAAAAAAGAAAAAAGAAAAAAAAAGCAGATGCTGCTTTAAGGAAAACATTTAATTCTAGGAATTTCTGTACAACTGACCTCAGCAAGCTTTTCCATCTTAGATGGATGACTTCTGCTTGAGACCCTGAAAGATTAAGATGCACACACACCTAGAGCAGTTTATTGCAAAACTAATATTGTAACTTAAAAAAAACAAACAAACAGATTCTGTACAAGAATACTGTTCAAATGGAATGTGTTAAAATAACATTTATTAATAAATACTTTATAAAATTCTATGTGAATACTAAATTAATAGATTCCTGTTTTAAAATTGCTTTGGTCCTCATGAATTTTCATAAATTCACTCTATACGCTTTTTTTTTAAAAAAGGTATTAGCTGCTAAAAAGCACATTTTGCCTAAACTAAAAGGCTAGTTTTCAACACTAAATATTGTTGCTTAAAAAAATATGAATCCTCAAAAGTTGGGCATTTAACAACAGTTATAGCTGGCTTGTTAGTTAACAGGACAGAGTCAGTTAACACACTAAATCCACACGCACTGAGGCACTGAACCATTGACTTTCCACTATTCAGAAGATGGGCAGCAGACATTTAGCTTCGTAGCAGGAATTAACTCCCAACAGAGTGAAATTCTCCATAAATCATCATCATCATCATCATCATCGTCCTTATAAAACACACCATGATAGCACACAAACTACTTGTCTCCCACAGGCAGCGTTATGAATATGGCTTGCATAAATTGATTCGGGGAAGGGGGGCCGGGGATGAAGGAACCGGATCACAGCATCGTTTCTTTCCCATCAAAGTTATTGCAGTTGTCCGTGGCTGAGATTTCCAACGTGCTTCCAACGTCACACGGCAATAGATGCCGTCCACAGAAATACCTCCTCCTGAGCGAGGTGCCGGCCGAGGCGAGGCTCGCCGCCCTGCTAGTGCCCGGGAGAGCAGGCAAGGGAAGCGGTCCGAGTCGTCCGCCGGCAGTGGGATGGGGCACAGAGCCCAGCGAGCCCGGCAACGGGATTTGCAGGGCAGGAGGAAAGCAGAGCAGTCTCCAGTAGTAACTTGTGGAAAAGCAGGATTTCTCCATGACGGAAAGAGCCCGGGAAGTGCATTTAGAGTGACGTGCTTAGGAAGAGGCCGCTGCCACCGACCGCGCAGCAGAGGGACATCCCGGGGACAGAGGGGCAGAGGCTTCTCCCGCAGCCCTTGCTCAGGCAGCCTCCAGTGCCCGGCCAGACGGGCAGCTTGAGGAAAGGCTGCAGGATCACTCCCCTGGAAAACAAGAGCATTTCAATGTGGAAGCGAATCTGATGAATAATATAAGGTGCCTGGTACGGTTGGTCCTTTTACCAATGATATAGCCGATATAAATATGCTGCATGTTGTCTTGGCCTGTGAACCTGCGACAGAGTTACAAGAAGCAATAGCAAATAGCTTTTCATCCTTTACTTATTTCCACATCACTAGCAAGGATTATACCTAAAGGCCAATAGTATAGAGAGGAGACATTTCATTGTAATTATACATTTAGGCCAACATGTGTGGTTGGCTTGCCTAGTTAGCATTAAAAAAAGAAATAATTGAGCTATATATAATACACATCAGTCAAACTGTCAAGTTGCTGAATTTAACAAAACTTAGGCAAGGTTTTTGTATTTTTTTGCTTTTTTTTTTTTCTTTTTAATGTAGAGGCTTTCAGTTTAACAGCTAAATATTTTAATTGAGGAGGCTGAATAAAATGAAGCTAAACCGTAATTCTAGTGCAGTGTAGCTCAACTGGGTATTCTAATATTACCAACAACTTTGATTTTTATTTTTTAATGTATTTAAGTGCTACCCATATAGAGGGAAAGTTGTTTAAATTAACCCTGCGATGGCATTTTGTTTTTCATGGTGAATGATGAAATTCAGACACAGGGGAAATGCTTATTTGGTTTTTTTTACATAGTGGATACTCAGCTGGAACATTTTGCTCGACTGCATATTTGAAAAAAGTTCCCTTGGGAGCCGTGATGAAGTAAAACCATTTAGCTATTACAACTGGAGGTTAAAAAAAATTATAGATTCAGTATTTAAAACACTTTAAAAGTATATGTTTGTCTAAAATATAATAGAAAATCCTTTACATTTGTATTTTTCGTAATTTTTTTGGTTCTTAGACTATATAATCAAGTCAAGATTTACACTGTACATTAAAAATCTTCTTCTTTTGAATGTATTTGCATAAATGGAAAGCGAGCTGTTAAAGAATACTGGCAAAAAGTTAGCTACCAAGATAAGAACTAATTCGGAAATGAATGATCCTCAGAATTTTGCTTTCCCTTCCAGGCGGGCCCTGCTCCTTACGGTGCCTCACGCTTCAGTTGTTCCACTCTCACCCCCACACAGAGAAGAGCCACCCTTTTAAAACCCACGACTCCTCGAAAAACCAAAGACACAGTCCTGGAGGAGAACTTCACTTCAGAACAAAGCGTGTTCAGGGCTAGAGGGTTTGCCGGGAATAATGTGAATTAGCTTTTGCTATTAAAGATGCAGCTCAAAATGTTTGAGCGTTTATCACCAGCTCAGAGCCCGCTTCCCGGCTAAGCAGCGGGAGGTTTGGCCGCTGACAGATTTGAGAGCAAAATCAGGTCCCAATATACGGCAAGGCAGCATAATTAACTGGCATCATCTCTGTCTGATTTTCCCATCAATCACTGGTACCACTCGGGGATGCAAATCAGTCGCGCTGAGGGGCAGGCCCAGAGTCCAAACAAAAACCTCAATTGTGGCATAAGGCTCTTTTCCAGACCCTCTTTGCAGAACTGAATTTCATCCAGAGCGCAGTGGGATTTGCCATTCTTGCAGTGCTTTTTAGAGGCTGCATGCCTTCTAAAAATTATTTAGCGTCCTAATGAGACAACTCCTTACCCGCGGTAAACGGGCGTTAAGTGCCATTAAAGTCAGTGAAGCTACACTGCTGTCTGCCAGCTCGGGATCGGTCCATGGACGCTTAAAGGAACGCCTGCAGAGAGCAGGTCTTTCCCTGGGAATTAAAAATGGCATTTTTCCAACTGGTCAGAACCGTTATGCTGATTTATTTCTCATTTATAGCCTGTGAAACCTGAGGCTGTTAGCTTTCAGTGCTAGAACAACGTAACCGAGTTAGGGAACAGAACTTTTCCGCATTATTATATACTACATGTTTTTTTCTATGTTAACGACTGGCAGTGCAAAAGAATTGCTGTGATTCTCAGGTGTCGCTCGCTACGCCTGTGCCACACCACAGAAGCTTACAGGGCTGCTAGCATCAACACAGCTGGCTCTCAATCCTGCTTCACCTGGGGCTGCACTGCTTTCGCCTTTTGCTGTTTATTAAAAACACTAAATCAGGAGCATTTCTATTTTTTAAAAGCCAAATGCTCGGCACAGCCCAGCTGCGGGTGAAAAGCTAGTGAAAGCAGCAGCGGCGCCGACAGTTTTTAGGCGGGCTTGAAGTTTTTGCTTGTTCATCACCATTCTTCGAGAAAAAGAGAGGGAAGCGAGAAAGCCTTGGAATGAAAAAAGGCAGGAGGAAAAAAAAGCTGGGGGATGAAAAGGGTTTGGGAAGGGAAAAGGAAGGTGTAAGAATAACTGGAGGAGAAAAAGGGCAGGGTAGGAAAGAGAGGAGAAGGGGGAGGGCTACACAAAAGAGCACGTTATTTGGGCTTGATTTTGTCCTGATAGCCACATCCTATATAACCGCTTTGAAAGAGGCTCTCAATGCAAGACGGGGTCTGCTGATGGCACAACGCTAACTCATTTTTTATTATGCTGTCAGCAGATGCCCTCTCTCTATATTTATAGCCTAATTACTCCTAGTTACCTACATATGACTCTGTTTAATACTTTTCATGCCTCACATTGGCTAACAAGCTGCAGTTTAACACAACTCTGTATTTCTGAGGCTTCAGGCTAGATTGGTGAGAAGGAAACGTGACTATGTACAGAAACAGTTAGGTTTATAAACAAGTAACTGGTACCAAAAAAACTGGAGAAAGCACCAAAGCATTTCTCAAGCTGATAGCATATTAATTGCATAACTCCCTTTTATGTAACTAAGTATAAAAGACATTTTAATAACTATAAAAATGAAAGCCAGAGTCTTTCAAGAACTGAGGAATCTTCCAGGCTTGAGTTACGGTTGCAAGTGTTCTTAGCACAGAGGACGCTTTGATACGCTACCACACTCCCCTAGCAGTTTCTGATCAACCACTTTTAAAGGATGGGGTTGATGTCTGTTCTGTGGCTGGCGAGCTGGGTGAGAGTGGAGCTTCCCACGACGTCGCTGACGGAGGAGGAGGTCGTGATGGTGTTGTGCTGGATGACTTGCTGCTGGGAGCAAGCTGGGACCGGGCTCGCGGGAGGACTGCTCTCAGGACCTGGGAAGGGGATGAGGGGACAGAGACAACACACATTCAATTATCCATCCGAGTAACAAGCCCAGGCTGGGTGACGCTCCTGGAAAAGGGATGTACTACTACGGCAGCAATACTAACAACCAGAGGCATGCACAAGTCTCAGGATTTCAAAATACACCATTACCCAACACTGTCAGTCTTCTGATCTTTTGCAGTTTCTGTTATTTTTTTTAAGCCAGCTTCCCTGATATCAACCTGACTTCAGGAGCTGGGACCTTGAAAAACGTCCAAGACCTTAATGATTGTGAAACCAATGTCAGGATAAAAAGTCCAATACCTTAAGGTCTATAAAATCAGTTGGGATGCTTAAATGCTTTTT